CCCTTAAAGAGAGGGACTCCGCCTGACATTCTTATATAAAGTGATCAGGGGACTTGTGCCGGCCATCCCAGCAGGCACATACCTCACCCCACAGAAGCCGGGTAGACTGATCAGAGCAAAACGCTCACTGAACATTGACTTCACCACTGACATTCCCATGCACAATTACACCAGAAACAATAGCAAATGCTTCAAAGTGCCTCAGTGCAACACAGTGCAGTATCAACAATCTTTCTTTCCACGAACAATAATAGCATGGAACAACCTGAACGATGCCACTGTGAACTCGACATCAGTCGAAAGCTTCAAGGCTGCCCTGGCTTCAGCTAGGAGCTATTAGAATAGCATAATCATACCCCAAACCGTTGCAAAAATGCCAGCACATGGATGCAGCAACGAAACATTACCAGAACCAGATAACGTCTAACGTCATCCCCCCTCCTCCTCCTCTCTCTCCCATTCTCTCTATTTTTCTCTCTATATATATAGAAAAGACCGGGCAAATATCGGTAGAGAGGAAAAAATATGATAAAATAATGAAGACATTGGCCTGTTCACAACAGCCAGTATTCACCATATTAATAAAAATTGGGCTTTTTAAAATTATAATATGAGGCGTTAGGTAGCGTCCCTTTGTAGCAAGACCTATAACTGTTTCAAGGAATAGACAGCCCCCCCCCCCGCCCGGTTATACAAATACACATTACAGAAATTCCACCTCTTATATATAAAAAGACACGTATGACCATTAATCTCAGAAGCTTTGGAGGCCTGCTTCTTGGAGAGGTACGAACTATTAATCTCAGATGCTTTGGAGGCCTGCTTCTTGGAGAGGTACGAACTATTGATCTCAGATGCTTTGGAGGCCTGCTTCTTGGAGAGGTACGAACTATTGATCTCAGATGCTTTGGAGACCTGCTTCTTGGAGAGGTACGAACTATTAATCTCAGAAGCTTTGGAGGCCTGCTTCTTGGAGAGGTACGAACTATTGATCTCAGAAGCTTTGGAGGCCTAATTCTTGGAGAAGTACGAACTATTAATCTCAGAAGCTTTGGAGGCCTGCTTCTTGGAGAGGTACGAACTATTAATCTCAGAAGCTTTGGAGGCCTGCTTCTTGGAGAGGTACGAACTATTGATCTCAGATGCTTTGGAGGCCTGCTTCTTGGAGAGGTACGAACTATTGATCTCAGATGCTTTGGAGGCCTGCTTCTTGGAGAGGTACGAACTATTAATCTCAGTAGCTTTGGAGGCCTGCTTCTTGGAGAGGTACGAACTATTGATCTCAGAAGCTTTGGAGACCTGCTTCTCGGAGAGGTATGAACTATTGATCTTAGAAGCTTTGTAGGCCTAATTCTTGGAGAAGTACGAACTATTAATCTCAGAAGCTTTGGAGGCCTGCTTCTTGGAGAGGTACGAACTATTAATCTCAGAAGCTTTGGAGGCCTGCTTCTTGGAGAGGTACGAACTATTAATCTCAGAAGCTTTGGAGGCCTGCTTCTTGGAGAGGTACGAACTATTGATCTCAGAAGCTTTGGAGACCTGCTTCTCGGAGAGGTACGAACTATTGATCTTAGAAGCTTTGGAGGCCTAATTCTTGGAGAAGTACGAACTATTAATCTCAGAAGCTTTGGAGGCCTGCTTCTTGGAGAGGTACGAACTATTAATCTCAGAAGCTTTGGAGGCCTGCTTCTTGGAGAGGTACGAACTATTAATCTCAGAAGCTTTGGAGGCCTGCTTCTTGGAGAGGTACGACTATTAATCTCGCAATCCCCTTCTGAAGAGGGACGACTGTTGATCTAAATGTGACTGCAAGCGAGCAGCCTCAGTCTTCCACTTATCCATCGTGTAGGCTCTGCAAGTGTGCGCGTGCTTTGCATCGAGGTAACCATTGAGGTTCGTGCTCTTGAAAGTGCTGTTGGTGTCGTTACTGCATTGGACGAAGAATAAGTCGTCAGTCCATTCGGGGTTGAAGACACGCTTTTCGAAGTCAACCTTCCGGAGGCTGGTAGCTGCACGTTGCTTCTACTTTTTAGGTTTAGTAATTTTGTTTACTGAGCGGGAACTCGATGTTGGTAATATGCTAGTGTTGTCATTGGACGATTGTCGGCGTTCGCATTCTTTATTCTTGGAATCGCACGTCACCCTGAACACAAGTGTGCACAACAAACATCTTGACACCGGTGATAGGTGAATAGAATGAATTCAATTTTTCTTTGTAAGGACGGGAAGGATTTCATGACAAATGCAGAGTTTGTATCGTTATTTGGAACGTGGCATACGTCTTGGCAAGTCTGCGGTAGCACTAACTTTGGCTACTCCACTAGGTGGTGTATCTGTCATCACTAGCACTAGCTACTGCAATAGGTTGTGTATCTATCAGCACTAACACTAGCTAAGCTACTCCACTAAGTAGTGCATATATCATCAACAACAATTATGACCAGCGCCAGATGTACTGTCATTTTTTTAGGGAAGAAGGGTGGAAATTGAGGGTAGTGGGGGGGGGGGGGGGGGGGCGTCGGGGGAGCCCGCAACAGCAAATTTTGGATTATTTCAAAATCAAAAGAACTAAGTAGTGCATATATCATCAACAACAATTATGACCAGCGCCAGATGTACTGTCATTTTTTTAGGGAAGAAGGGTGGAAATTGAGGGTAGTGGGGGGGGGGGGCGGGGGCGTCAGGTGAGCCCTCTACAGCAAATTTTGGATTATTTCAAAATCAAAAGATGCATTTTGGAGTATACCTGAATTCAGTGTTTCTCTTAGACTATAGCATCTGGGGAAGGAATTTTTCAATTGTCAGAGGGAGACATTATGGCATTCAGTTCCATTCATGAATTGAATTCATTCTGGTTGTGGCGTGCCCCAGGGTAATCATTAAATATAATTAAATGGACTATATGTTTGTAAACTTACTTCTCCAGTTTAACTAAAATAAACTACCACAAATGAGATCCGAATGGGATTTAGTCTAAAGGGACCCGGGTACGCATAGCTGCTATACGGACCCGGGTCCATTTAGACTAAATTCCATTCGGATATCATTTGTGGTAGTTTAGTTAAACTGAAGAAGTAAGTTTACAAACATATAGTCCATTCAATTATCTTTCATTTGATACCTCATTTTGTCTTACAAACCAAACAATAATGTTTTAAATACTTTTTAAATCCCAACCTCTCACTTCTGATACCTGGGTGCGAATAGCCACTTCGTTCGGAATATGTATAGGCCTAATTTGACAACCACCACATGTCTCCACTTTGTTTTGCCTATATATAGACGTCACTGAGTAATTGTGCTATGCCCCACATCCGCCCTTCCTCGATTGGGAAAATGGAAATTACTTTTGAATGCTTTCTTTTTGTTAAATCAGGTGACACAATTTCTAGGCTTTCTTTACTAGATATTAGATGACTCTGTTTTAATCCCAATATATAATATATATATATATATAAGCCGACCGCATTCCTAGTGAAGAGATATTTTTTCTGTGGTTCCTAACATATCTTAGACGTTATTATAATTGCAATATTTTCCTCTTTTAGTGTGTGTGTGTAAATTATATGTATGTATTTTCTTTAGAGTTTACCTCTTCACTTGCTGTGGTGTAAGTTGATCCAGTTTTTCTGTATTTGTATTTGTATTTTGATAGAAATTTAATTAAATTGAATGTTTTTAGTATAACCAGCTTTGGTATTGTTTTCTTTGCATACTGTTTTCCACACTCCTTTGTTATGTACCGGTATTGTTCAATATATGAGCCGAATCTTAAAACAGATTAAAGTAAAAAACCATAACGGTATCAGGTACCTAACACCCCCCACTGCAAATTGTGCAAAATTTCATATCTTTTTCCAATCTTCTTAGTAGACTATGTTGCCTCTGCCAGTCCAATAAAGCCGTTTTAGACAGAGCTATTGAAATGATGGACTTCTTCTGCTCTAGATCTTAACCAGAGACCACCCTTGTTTAGGCACCAAATCATGTCACTGCCAGCATAATCGTACATAACGATGCATTCAAATCTTGTTTAAACAAAAAATAAAAGGGTCGAATCAAACTCATCCTTACCTACCGCCTTCACAATTTGATTACAAAAAAATATTCTTAAATAATCGACAAGTGGTCCATGCTCACCCTGACATTAACAGGGTATTCTCAAAAGGTTTTCTCATCCCTGTTGTATACCAACAAGATAAAGTTGTAACAAAAATGATAGCCAGAAAGATTCTCAAAACACCACAGTTGTCTTAGTGGTTGATGAAGTCAATCATAAGATTCCCAGACAAGCAAAAATTGTAAATACTCCTTAAAAATGAAAAGACCAGATTTCTACAATCTTCTCATTCAATTTTCACTGCAGAGAATCCTCAAGCTCCTGCCATGGGCCTCTCGGAAAAATCCAAGATAGGAAGGTTATAGCGTGACCCTGGGGGTGCCTTGAAAAATAGCTGTGTAAGATTTGAGGTAAAAAAATGCTCTTACTAATAATATATACATTTTATTAAAGCTTTTCACTTCCTTTCTACATGCGATTCCAAAACAGAGTAAGCAAAATAGATGTTTCAGAATGTCGACCGTGTTTCTGTGGTGTGGATTATGTATGGGTGGTATGGACCATGTGTGGGTGGTGTGGTCTATGTATTGATAGTGTGGGCAATATATGGGGAGTAAAGACCATGTACCAGTGGTGTGGACCATGTATTGGTGATGTGGACCATGTATTGGTGATGTGGACCATGTATTGGTGGTGTGGACCATGTATGGTTGGTGTGTCTAGAAGATAGGACATGAGAACAAAAAGTCATTCATTAAAAACAAGTTGATTAGATTAAGCGCTCAAACAGATTAATTGGTTTAATAGGTAAACAGCAGGTGGACTCTGGAATAACAATGTCAAATATTCATGGTGACAGACAGAGTTTCATCTAAGAGCTGTAAGAACTCAATAACTCAAAGGAAAACCAGACTCATGGTTCTAATGCTGTATCAATGGTTTCTAAAGATGTATCCATGTTTTATGCATGGTTTGTAAGGCTGTATCCATGGCTTGTAAGCCAGTATTCATATTAAATAATTGTTTAAAATAAGGAATGAAAACAAATGACATAAAAATTCAATTATCAATTTAATGACATTGTATTATTAACCGTACAGAAAAAAATGGCAAGTTTGAAAATGAGCTTGAAGTTGAAGCCTTTAGACTGTCCTACAATAATTTTCTTTGAAGAAGAATCCCATTTCTTACCTCAACATATTAATCTATGTACTTGAGTCCATAATTAGTAAAGTTAGTGATAAGCCAACACTACAAAACCAGACCACTGAAATTACTGTGGACCAAGTCAAGGACCCAAATACTTTCCTGGACATCTGTAGCTAGGATTTGTGACACACTTGGTCCTGGCTGAGGTGACAAGTTGGCTGACAGTTTTACGATCATTGAAGCTGTGACGTTTGATCAGGTGACTCTCTAATTCCGAGATATTCATGAAGTAAGCTGAACAAGAGTTGCAGAATCTCATTGTCACCTATTGAAAAGAAAAAAAAAAAGTTTTGTACAAATGTAAAAGTGGCATGTTTTACATGCCAAGAGTTGTTCTGTAGACTGCAATCAAAATATTCATGCAAGATTGCTGGCTATATTGAACTCTTTAGAAGTGTTCTACATGCAGCTTAGTTAGATGTAGGCAGTGCAGCTTAGTTAGATGTAGCCAGTGCAGCTTAGTTAGTTAGATGTAGGCAGTGCAGCTTAGTTAGTTGTAGGCAGTGCAGCTTAGTTAGATGTAACCAGTGCAGCTTAGTTAGTTGTAGGCAGTGCAGCTTAATTAGTTAGATGTAGCCAGTGCAGCTTAGTTAGATGTAGCCAGTGCAGCTTAGACAGAAGTAACCAGTACAGCTTAGTTAGATGAAGTCTGAGTATCTAATATTTAAACTTACATTTGGCTTGTGGAATATTTCCCAGTGGTCAATAAATGAAGATTCTGTCTTAAAAAATGTTGTTGCTGGGCACTCACTGACTGGACATCGCCGATTGGTGAAATAGTTTAACTGGATGGAGTAGTCAGCTGGTAGGGCTGTGTTGCTGGAGATCAACTGTTCATATTCTTGCTCTGAGTAAACAAGTGGCCCATCAAATGACTTTCTGTAATAAATAACACTACAGAGTTTACTGTGAGAGAAGAAGATTTTACAGTCTACCAGTCTTGTAAAAAAAGTCTTACAGGTGTCTAACATGATTTTGATAAACGAATAGAAATTCCAGCTGAGAGGAAATAACTGCAGGGAACAATGTGCCTAATTCTACATGTTTTTTTAACATAATAATTACTTGTGATGCAGGGGAACATTTAGATTGACAGCACCTGGAATATTGGCTTTAGTTTGCTTAGGAATTTGAATGAATTTGATATAGATGACAATTACATTTCAAGCTAGACCTAACCTGCAACACACACCCCTTGTATATTTAATCAATTAAATGGAAATGTTTCACATATGGCCAGCCCAAAGAATTGTTAAGTGCCATGAAATAGCACACACTGCTGTTCCAGGTGAGCCTCAATCGTAATGTTAGAGCTTTACTGGAACTGAAGTACCAGTATTTTGAACTACCGGTATATAACTAATGCAGAAGAGAAAAATGATGGAAGCAACAAACCTGTGTGGTCTTACATCAGGATCAGCTTTCTGAAAAGATGACACAACTCTTAGAGATCATGTGACAAGTTTTAACAAAATGTCATCCAAGGGATTTTACAAGCTCCAAAAAATTGAACAACAAAAAATACTTTGAAATAATAACTTGTAACTTTTTAGTTAAAGAAGGTTTTTATTGGTCCATGTTTCACAAGAAGCAAGTTAAATAAAAAATAAATTAAAAAAATTGTGGACCTCTACTATTCTAATACAAGAAATCCATATTTTTTTGCTAATAAAGCAAATAAACTTAATTCTAACAGCAAAGCAGTATCATTCCTTTTTGATGAGGCCTAATTATACTTGTCAACCTCAGCATCCATCATACTTGTAAACCTAGGCCTGCATTATACATGTCAACCTAGGCCTCCATCAGACTTGTCAAACTAGGCCTCCATCAGACTTGTCAAACTAGGCCTCCATCAGACTTGTCAACCTAGGCCTCCATCAGACTTGTCAACCTAGGCCTGCATTACACGTGTCAAACTAGGCCTTCATCATACTTGTCAACCTAGGCCTTCATTTCAATAGGGTGGAGATGAGAGGGTATAGCAAGCAGCTAACACAATATTTAAAAGCATACTTCATTCTAAAGTTTACATATAACTTACACTCACACCGCCAGCACCAACAAAGTCACCATCTTCACTTGGTACCATTTCATATTCTGTTTTCACCTCCAGTTTTCTCTCAGGCTCAGTTTTTATCGCTGCTTCATTCTGTGTTCTCAAATCTTCTTTTAGTTTTGAATCCTCTTCTCCTTTTAATCTTTCTTCCCTGGCCTTCAGCATTCTCTGTGCTTCTAGCTTGGTGGCAGCACTGTCTCCGGTTATTGGACTGCCAGCTGATTTTGCGTCTTCTATCAACTTCCTTGCCCAGTTGGACTTGGCTTTCTCATCAGCTGCTCTGGACTGTTGTATTTCCATTTCTCTCTGATGTTTGATGTCCTCCTCTCTCTGTCTCTCAGCCTCATCAGCCTCCTCAAGCCTCCTCTGTAAATCTTCCATTTCTTTCTTTCGTTTCTTTGCCTTTAGATCATCTTCAAGTTTTTTCCTCTCCTTCTTGGTAAGTTGTTTTTTTTCATTCCCTTGTTCAGCGGTTTGATTAAATGTATCAGAAGGACTGATTGTCCATGGATCAGAGGCCTGTTCATCAGAGCCACTGGCCTTTGTTTTACTAGTATGAGAAAGGGACTCCTGCAAAGATGCTAACTGAGCTTGCATCTGAAAAAATAATTTGAAAAAAATCAATATTATTTTGTTTTAAACAAATTTACAAGATTAAAAAAAACACATTATATTCATAATATCAAAATGAATTTTTAAATCTAACAAATGTTTATAGCTGCTATTGCAGATTTAAAAAAAAAACCCACGCTTTAAGAACTGTTAAATTTGCTATTTAAAAAAAATACATTGGCTCAGTAATGTTTGATCACTTGTGGTCTGGTCGTTGGGATGCATGTTTATTCTACCCAGTGAAATTCAGAGTAAGTGATCTTTATAGAAATACTAGCAAATATACCCAGCGTTTCCCTGGATTGCATTTGAAAAAAAAAAAAGTTCTACAGCCTTTCTAATTAGCATTGCAATTAATTAATTTTGTCTCCTATAAAAACACATTTACAATAACTTTTGTAAACCTTCGTTCCCCATTCGGATCCCGGTAGCATTATGAAGGGTATGTTTAGGAAAGTCTAGAAATGAATAGAACTAAACGGACATCTCAATCAGCTTTAAGTCCCATCACATATTCCTCCAGAACAATATAGAACTTTCTGGAACATTCTAGATTAAATTTTAATATCCTCCTCGAAACATTTAAAAAATGACTTTGCTACATAATTATTATTTTTTAATTCGAAAAATTATACAGCCTATTGATATTTTTATAGCTTAAACATTGAAAAATGAAAGGGGGCCCCAATGGAGTGCATCAGTATTTGAATAAGGATAATCAAATGTATGTGTGCTAAATTTGGTCAAGATCCATCTACTCATGTAAGAATATTTGTTGTTAATTTTATTTAAATAGCTCATTTAAGAAAAAAATGAATTCAGGGCCCCCCGGCCCCAATAGGAATGTTGTACAAAGTTCAAAACCTCCCATAAGTTCATTCTGAATGATGATGATCTGCCAAGTTTGGTCAAGATCCATTAATCCATGTAGAAATTTATGCAGAACAAAGCCACCCAAAAATCCACAAACAAATTTATATATATATATATATATATATATATATATATATATATATATATATATACACTATCTAATATACCCGGCGTTTTCAACTATCTTTTAATAAACATAGAAATAAAATACTATATAAAAAAACAAAACACATATAAAAAAAACATATAAATATATATAAAAAAAAAACACACACAAAAATACACACACAAATATATATATATATATATATATATATATATATATATATATATATATATATGTATACACTAGCTAATGTACCCGGCGTTTTCAACTACCTTTTAATTAACATTGAAATTAAGTACCATGTAACAAAACAAAACACATTTAAAAAAAACACTTCTTTACTAAAAAATAAAATAATTAATTTGTCTCCAATAAAAACACATTTATCAAAACTTTTGTAAATGTTTCGATCCCTGGTGAGATCGCAATCTGATCCCCTTTCCCGGTGGATCCTGTTTTCCGATGGCATCCCTTTTCCCAGATGATCAGGATCCCGACTGAGTAATCTTTACAGAAATACTAGCTGGATCCTGACCCCATGGGATCCCGATACTTATGGGTTCCTGATCCCACCGGGATCCTGTTTTTTGGTGGGATTCCAATCCCTCTGAGATCCAAATCCCAATAGAATCCTATTTTTTGGTAGGATCCCAATACCAGGGAGTTTCCAATCCCATCGGTTACCAGATCCCAATTTGGAACTCCTTCCCCATTAGGGTAATGTTCCTCAAAGGGATCATATTCCCAGTGGGATTTTGTTCCCAGTAGGATTATGAAGGTTATGTTACAGAAATGAAATAAATGAACCCTTCAATAATATTTAGATTTCACTATACATCTCCCGTATAACAATATGGCATATTCTGGAATACTATATTAAATTTTATAATCTCAAAAAGTTTGAAAAATGACCTTCCTACATCATTATATTCGAATACAAAAAATACCATAAACTAAAGGCCATAACTTAAACATTTTTCAATTAAGTTAAAAGAGTGGATACATTTAAAACTGGTCCCATTAAAATCGGTTTTATAATGCCCTAGATAAAGTAAAAAAAAAATATATAGATAGGAGTTATGGTGTTATCTAAGCCTATTCATATTTATACAGCTTATATAAGAGAAAATGAAATGTGGCCCCCGGCCTGAAAGGAGTTAATATTATGATTTCAGTACCCTTCAGTATTTGAGTATGGATAAGTTTGTTCAAGATGCATCAAACAATGTAGAAATAGATGGGAGTTATGGTGTTATCTAAGCCTATTCATATTTATACAGCTTATATAAGGGAAAATGAAATGTGGGGCCCCCGGCCTGAAAGGAGTTAATATTATGATTTCAGTACCCTTCAGTATTTGAATATGGATAAGTTTGTTCAAGATCCATCAATCAATGTAGAAACAAATGCAGAGTGCAGAGTAAAGCTCCAAACAAATTTTTACTTATATATATATATATATATATATATGAATGATAAGATTACTTATTAATAAATACCTTAAAACAAAATTTTACTCTCATTTATAAAGTCAATATATTGAGATACGTTTAAAAAAGGCGCTAAAAATAATTGATAAGTAAAAAACCTCAAGAATTTTGAGTATGTTCGGGTTGTCTGTTCCTAGCTGTTTGAGCTTGTTGAGAGATTCCAGCATCCCTGTGCAAACATCTAATGTCATGCTGGATATATCAGCATCTATTGCCCTATCTTTGGAACTTTCCTGAGGGGAATCAGAGCTGAAAACACATCCTCAAGTCCAGTTACATCAATAAATATATAGTTAATATAATATTTGGAGAATAGTAATGCATCAAATAATGACAAATAAATCTGAAATAACAGTCAATTTAAAACTTGCAGCTATGTGGTTAGAGGAGTCTATTGTCACTCAGTTTAAAAAAAAGAGATGACTTGATGTCCATGAACCAAAATATTGATCGATGTCAGAGGTGTAAGAAATATGATATTCGTAAATAAGATGTTGCTAAGGTTACTTGTCATTAAATATTTAAACAACACATAGATGTAAATAAATGTTAATTGAAGTGTAATATTTTTTGTATGCTAAGAATTGATGTCTCTAAGCTAGAATTTTTCAAAACTTTACGATGAAGATATACTTTAGTTGCCATGAATATAGCTGTTGCTAAAATCGCTGTATTGAAAAATATAGATACAGTACTTAGATTTTTTTTTATATTGTAGAATGGTATTCCTAAATAATGGGTGATGTGACAGTGTTTTGGTTCAATTAATATCTCATGAAATTAAACCCATTATTTGTTTGAAATGACTTAGTATTTAAAAATAAAATAATCTCAAACCCGTTTACCCTCAAACTCTTAAAATTGTACAATATCATCACAAAACCGTTTAACACATTGTCTTAATAGAAAAAATAAACATACAGTATATATAATGTATACACCTCAAAATCATACATTGTACACCAAAATCGTAAGAGTAAACAGATCTGTAATCTTAACATTCTTTTTATTTTGTTAATTGGTCAAGTTCTAATTATGTAATATATTAAAGTTGCTCTTGTCATAATACAGAAATATGACTTGACCTACATACTGTTCCCAACAGAAGCACTGGACTCTTTAACTGCCTTACTGGCATCCAGTCCAAATCGTTTGGACTTTTCACACAACTGTTCCTCCTTCTTGGCTTCCACATCAGTTTTGACACAAGCCTTGGACTTAACTGCTATTTATTTTTTTGCAGAAAAAAAAAAGGTGAAAAAAAAAAAAAATCAATATTCTATTAAAGAAGTACCCAGTTGAAATGAAATTAGGAGGGAAAGAATGTAACTAAATTTTACAATGACAACTTGCATGTTTACCATATATTTTGAACAATTTGCATCTCTAGCAACTTTTTTCAGAGCTTTGTTGTCTGTTCCAAAATCAGCTGACAATGCCCCAGCTAACATAAACAATTGAAATAACCAGCTCAAATAACCAAATGACATATCCAACTGAATGAAACAACACGTGTCAACAAGTCTTTCTATAAACATTGGTTTCCAGACTCTTTCAAATGAGATTACTTCTGATGTTAAATGTACTTCAAAGACATATTACTAAACTTTTTTGCATAATAATGACGCAGGACGCTTGGATTTTGAAGCACCCATAGTGAATCATGCACCTAGAAGTGTTAACATCAATCAACCAAATGGTTCTCTTGTTTTTCAGATTAATTAAAAACTAAAAAGACAACCCACTTTAATCTGTCAATTTAATTCAGTTGAAATGGAAGAGTAAACATGTGACATTTACCTAGTTCTTTAGCTGCTCGTAAAACAGTCATGGGGAATGATTCATATCTGAAGTCAGAACAGCATTCCAGCATTGCCTCAATCCAATGATCATTGGCATAATTTACAGTAATTGGTCTGGAACAAATAACATTTTGCATAAAACTTAAATATATATATTTATATATATGTGTATAACTTCACACAATTTGTATTAAAATGTCACACTTATAAAAATTATTAACTTTACAAATTACCCTTTGTATTGATCTGTGCCCGATCCCTTGCTGAAGGGTACAGAGATGCTTTTGCTATAAGGAAAAATAGTTTCAAGAGCAAATGTCACGGCCGTTGCTGGAACTTTCTGTATTTCAAAGTGGGCTTTTATTTCTGGTTTCCCTTTCTTTGAATCTGCAAACGAGTTAAAAGCATCAGATATGTAGTTTAAAAAGAGAGAAGAAGAAACAACCCAGCCCCACAATGTTGGCAGAAAGAATCCTGGCATTGAAAAAAAAAAGGACAACTACTGAAATAAAGAAATAGGAGCCAGGAATAGGGAGAAGAAATGAAAAATAAGAACTTTGACTTTACTAAGCATACTAGACAAGCATAATAAAGTCAACAATGCTAATAGATAAAATCACTGTCGTTAATTAATTCTACTTATGATTTAAAAACAACAACCTTATGGTGGATCAAAGAAATAAATAATATGTAGAAAATTAATTACCTTCAGGGTTTTTCACCAGTTTAAACAAATTGTTAGTTTTGTTTAAACATACATTGAAGGATACTGAAAACACAAAAAGAGATATTTCATTAATCCTGGTAGACGAGATTAGACAAATATTTATATTTTATTGTCTTCAGTTTAAGGATGTTACGTTGCTTACATTTCCAATGATTATTTATGACAAGGTTTATGTGTTGTTTTTATAAAACAAAAAGAATATTTAAATTGAATTATTGGTTACCATATGGGTGCCATAAATAATGCACAAAGATGAAGCTTTGGAAATTAATAATATTATAATCAATTTAAAATTGGATTTATTCAACAAATAATTAGCCCAAAAATAATATTATTATTCTGATTACAAAGCACACTAAATTATCATAAGTGACTTAATTTTTATGCTTTTTTTGTATATATAATTATAGAATATTTCATCCTAATAAACACATTTTTTATAATTTTTAAAAATGTTAATGATGCAACTTTCTTGTGCACTTTTACTTTTATCTCATTCTGGCAAAAATTTACTTTTTCACAAATCGACTCATGTCTCAGTTGCAAATGATAACAATTTTAATTAAAGATGACAATGTGGTTAGAGAATCTTACTTATTAAAATTAAAAAAACTATCATAAGGAAATTCTCCACCTACCTACGACTGGCTCTTTCATTCGGTGGATGTAAGTGACTGAAACTTCAATTTTGTTTTCAACAAGTTGGATAAAAAGCAACTTTTGAATAAACAACTTTACGTCATCAGATTTTGAATGATAGGATTCCGCAAACCTAAACAACCAGATTTTATTATAAATATATTTTGCAAACTTAAATAATGTTTAGAGTTATAAAATGAATAAATTTGGAAAGTGAATTAGTAAATGATGAGGTAATTACTTATGTTCAAAAGCTTTTTCCAAACAATTTAATTCAAAGCGTTTTAGTTTTATGTGAAAGAATTGTGACTCTGAATGACCCCAAAATAGGGTAGCTCCTTAATCATAGCACAAGAATTGAAGAATATATAGTGACAACCTTGAATTTACTTTCATTACAATAATTGTAATTGTAACTCTATAATTTATAGAATTGTATTCATTAACAAAATAAATGTGGCAATGATAATTTATATTTGAAAGAAAGAAAGTCACTTAACCCTATAACTATCATGTTTACTAAATTAATCGGTAGTGAAATTGGTTCAATTCTTGTAACTGCCATAATGTCGGATGTTGGAGAGGGTCCCCCCACTAGATTGCAAAATCAATACAGAATTTCTTGGTCTGAATTATTTCAAAAGGATAAAAATTTAAAATAATTTCAGACAAATTCCATAGGATAGTAATGTCATTATTAGATCTAGCTGTCATGGCACAATAAGAGTCAGATATTGAAAATTTTAGCCCTATGCTTAGTTGTATTGTTACAGACACATTTGTTTGGAAAAGGATGGAAATCGAAAAGAAAAGACAAAGACTGGATCCCAAAGACCTACCTTAAAGAAATTCAAAGACATTTACGTTTGAGTAACTTCTGGAGTATTAATTAATTAAAAAAATGGATTGAATAACTTCAATTGAAAATATTTTTTAAAACGCTTTCATGCTTTCCCCCTTGTATTTTTTATGACAGAAATTTAAAGGTAGTGAATGAAAGAAATTCACCAAATTTACATTTTTTTTATAATAAGCACCAATAACTTGAAATTTCCTAAAAGGATGTTTCTTCAAGTATCTAAAAAAAAACCTGATGTAATGATACATAGAACCAAATAGTGAGATTGGTGTGGGTTGAATGCAGCAGTTGAGGACTACAATTTTACTCATAGTGTAAAGGTCATGGTCAAAATCAACTTACATCATATAAAAACTAATTCTTTTTCATACCATTTGAGTCCTTGTACTTTCATGAAATGTATACATGTATGGGTCTCTGTATATATTTTTTATGGGATTTCGCTACATAAAACTAGCCCATCAAAATGCTAATACTGTTTGGTGCCACAGAGTAAATACATTTGACAGTTATAGGGTTCAAAAGTAATGTAAATGACCTGGAAACTCATTAGAAAAATCAAATTGCTCTAGAGATGTTATGGTGGTCATACCCCTTTTTCTTTTTAAACTTTCCTTGTCGCTTGAAGTAGAATGCCAGGTTAGGATTTGACTGAATAAGGTCTTGCACTGAGCTATTGGCCAGGTCTGCCAACTCAACAGGAGAGAATCTGACAATAAATTTATCTTCTGTAGAGAAAAATAAAGGACGTCACAAATGGCTGCCACATATTCATATTTATTAAATGAAGGACAACAGAAGATTAACCAATTCTCGATCACAAAGCTAAAATTTTAGTGAACGAAAACTAGTCCTACCTTTCTGAGGTATAAGTTCTTGTTTTATACCCTCCATCATGTCCTCGACCAACCAGTTGTCAATATTTCGACTTTCTTCTTCAGACAAAAAGGGTATGTGCGCACCTGCACTGTCCCGAGCAAGGACCTCATTGTCTTTATCTTCTACTTCTTTGGGAGAATGGTCCACTCTCTCGTCTCCACCAATAGCGATTAGAATGTCGCTAACATTGTCAAGTTTTTGGACTTTTGGATCAATGTTTTCCAATTCAGGCAATTTATTTTTTGTGGGGCTTAGTTTGGATGAAGGATGAGCTGAGTTGCCTGTCTCTATGTTATCCTGTGCTAAGGTACTTTGAGTACTTACACTCTGCCCTATATCAACAGAGTGAGAAGATTTGATTACATTTGAGTCACTCATCCCAATGCCTTTTGGTTCAGACTCTTTTTGACTTACGATTTGATGGGTCAAATTTTGTAGTTCAGATTTGTCATTTATTTGGGGTTTTTTCTCCAGGGTTATTGACTCTTGCAGCTTTGTTTCCACCAAAGACTTCTCTCTCTTCTCATCTTGGCTTTGATTTTTTATGGCAGTTATGGTACTAGGCTGACTTTTAACAGCATATAGAGATGTTTCTGTATTGTCTCCTTCTAAAAGAACATTCCACTCACTCAGGTCAGCGTCTCCAATGAGATCCTCCTCACCCCCCTCAAGGTCCAATGATTGATCAGACATTTTAAACAGAATCTGGAATGCATATAGCAAGAGATGAGATGAGATTATGGAAAGACAGGGTATTGATTACAGTGATCTATTAGCATTAGTAATTGCAAGCATTATAACAAGTATTTTAGATATACACATCAGGTTAACAGAGTAAAAGAACAGAGTAAAGGTAATTTTAAAATTCAAATCTGATTAGTTTCTAAACCTTTAATTACAATCAAAATCAGAATAGATAGATAAGTTTAAAAAGATAGGTACTGCGAATGACTGTTAGTTTATAAGGTCAATATTCTCATGCAAAATCCAGATGTGGCAGCATATGATGATCATGATTGTCATAATTAATAGTATATTTCCCCTGAAAAATATTAAAGGAAAGTATTACTTTTGCTGAATGATATTTTCTTTTGATTATTAGCAAATTTCATACTAATTCAACTTATTTTCTCCAACTAGCTTAAACGTAATTATTGATTGCAACAACTACACTGTATTATGAATGACATATAGCAAAACTCCAAAGGTTACAAATGGCAAAGTAAAATATGAAATACATTAAATCCAATTAATTAGGCCTAGACATTATTAAGAATCATTAGTTCAGCTTGGACTAGTCCTAAGTAGAAGGAATTAATGTCAAGGAGGACTGCGAAAGATACAATATTATTCGCTAACAAATTTAGCAATTTTAATTTTAGGAATTTATAATATTATAAGGTAAGACTTTTGAATCATTTGTTCATTATATATACCAGAAATAGTTCTAGGATTTCTTTTGTAGAAATGAACATATGTAAATATCAAGACTATCTTGAATTTGTTGAAATGAAGTACTGTGAAGTCTGATAGACTATTAGTGGTCTCGGTACAAGGCTGACGGACAAATATCCCAGGCATCTTTGTTACAGAGGTTATGTGACTTGGTCGAATATATAATAGCCGGAAGAATATCTCAAGAACTTATTTGTCAAAGGAAGTGGCATCGTCGAAATGCACCACTTCCTGTCGTACCAAATTTTTAATTTTTTTAAATCGCTTTAGGATTTTTATGACGGGTGAAAAATTATAATGCTCAGAAAATCTGAATTTTAAGGGGTTTGTCTGAAGGTCGGAATAAGGGGTAAAAAAATCTGTATAATTCCGATAAAATCAGAAGGGTTGGCAGGTCTGCATATATTAAAGACAAAATTTTTAAAATAGTAACATTTAAACAATTTAATAACTTATCATGTTTAAAAATGATAACAATTAAACATATGAAAGGAAAACAGAGTTTGAGTTTATATAATCTCCATGAAAACGATTGCGGGACATTAACCCATGCAATTATGAAGGGAAAAGATTGTAGCTTGCGCCTGTTTTTTCTGTATGTGCTTTGTGGGCATCCACATATTTTCAACAGTGTGTGAGTGAACACCAGTGTCTTTTGGATTGACAAAATTTTGTTAATGGACCACAACTGAGTATTCATAGATTCCATGTCTGATCTGGTTTATGTTTTTATAAGCTGCCCATCCGTCTGATACAATAGGTGAGCCTGGAAGGATATATCTCTCTATGCACTCCTGTAACATGATCACACTTCAACAGCGGCCACTCTCTCTATCTATGCCACCAAATACCTTGTGACCCTCTCCACTGTACTATTAAAGGACATCAATAAAAGAATAACCATTTAAATAGCACTACAAACCGAAACAACACAATTCTTTCATAACCGACGCTGAAGACCAGATATTTCCGGCAACAGCAACGCCAGGTTTTTATTTTTTATTTCACTAATGCATTCTGCCAAGGCAGTGTCTACGCGCGCCAGACGTATATCTCCTGTACTATTTGTCTGGCGACCAAATCACATGACCGCTGTAACAAAGTGGCGAGAGATATCTTGTCCATCACCCTTGTCACGTGACCTCGAATTATTCAATACTTTTGTTAATTTTAAAATCTATTTCTCTACCAAGTAATCTACTAAGTATCTTGAATGCAAATAATAGAAAAAAACTTAAGTGAAAGTGGCTTGTTAACATTTTTGTTTAGTTTGTTATTTGCGTTTGTGTACCAGTAATCCATCAAATAAATTAGGGGCCAGTATGGAGTAGGCAACCAATAAAAGTAAAAGATTTCATTTTAAATTGTTTAAATTTCTACAAAATATTTTAAAACTTCTCATGAAACTACTTTTGCTGATGAACGTGATAATATAAATATAATATAAAATATTTTAAATTAAAATGGGAAAAAAAAAAAAACGATTCCATACTGGGCATTGATCCACAAATATAATATGGTCAAGCGACCACTCTACCACAAGACCACACAAGATCTTCCAAATAACCACTTCGTTCGAAATAATAACAACTACTAGTTGTCCGGCGGTCACGTGACATGCTCGCCGGTCACGTGACATGCCCGCCGGACATATATCACGCGCACTATTTGTCCGGTTGACACTTCGTTCTGCCAATTGCATTTGGATTGACAATGGTTGTCAGAGCATGCGGTCTTCCTGTTATTTAGGCTAATCATTATAAGTCGGAAATCAATTATATTCAATAACTAAACAACCGAAATTTGCGCAATGAGACAATGTTCAATACATGTCAAATACTTGAATTTATGCACCTAAACTGCACTACTTTGTTTAACAGTAACTTTTAATTTTACGTAAGTTTTAACAACAGTACTTTTGTACTTGTAGTATTTGTAGATAGTTAAATGATTAAAGTTTACAGGGTAGAGTGCCAGTTTTTACATTTTAGCCCAGTGTAGTACACTTTTAGTTTAAGTTAGTGTAACAGTAATTTAATGTAGTGTAGCCAGAGCCTAGGCCGGGCATAATAATTTTTAATAATATAATAATAGGAGGGCTAGGCTAAGTCTAAGTTATTAGGCCTAGTCGCTCTGCCATAGCCCAAGGCTGGGAGACTTTTTATTTTTTAAGTGGAATAAATATGGGTATTATTAATATGTAAGGGCAACGATAAAGGGTGATCCATGCATTTCTAGCAAATTTGTACTTACTACAATTTATTTTATTCGATTACCAGAACAATTAAAATGTTTGCATACAAACAGCGAAATAACTAAATTTACATGCAAGTATGATGCAGATCAGTTTGTGCTGTACCAATAAATTTGTGATGGTAGTTTTCGATTACAATGCACTTTTTGTTTTGAGATTGGGTGCTGGCAAGTGCAAACACCGGCCCGCGGACTTTAACCAGCCTGCAATTGCATATCGAAAAATATTTAATAGCTGCCTTTATACTTGTTTCCCTCGACAGTCTAAATAAAAAGTAGCTCATGTTGTATCTAAATATATCACACAGGCTATTTAATATAGCCCCTGATATGCATTGCAGTGAGATGTACATCCATGCACATTTTTATTATTATTAATATGTATTATTTTATATACATATAAACTTTGAATAAAATACCAACCAACACATTTCGAAAAACAATTTATTTTATTCAATTATAATTATTTAAGTATTAATTTTGAAGAATATTAATTATAAAATCCGACCAATCTCAGCCCAGGTTATACCTAGGCGAAATACCACTCTAGTAAGTAATTCATTTGATTATCCTAGAAGCATCAATGGTAAGGAGGGTGACATTCATATGTGCATCAGAAACAGAATACACGTAACGAGGGGGGGGGGGCATTCAACACACTTAAAAATTAATGGAAATGCACTGGAATTATGATACAAACAAGGTCAATGGTGTAAGGTGACTTTTCTTAAAGGAAAAAAAAAAGTTTAGAGGCCACATTTCACTACAGAGCTAACAAAAATCAATATTCACTATGTAGGCCAAATGTAGTATAAAATATGTAGCTTACGATATTTAGCATTATGAAATGACTCAAATCTGTTAATGAACAAACCCAGTGTTGGATTGGCCCACCGAGATATCACTTGACAGTGTTGGACTGGCCCACTGCTGATGACACTCAAATCAGTGACTCTTGCTTTCCTGATCAACTTGATGCCACAATCCTTGGCATACAGGAGTGCGTGGACGACGTAAAGCGTTGGATGACTTGCAACAAACTGAAGCTAAATGATAATAAAACGGAAATCCTTCTCATCCACTCTCAAAACAAACATCTCCCTCCATCTGCTCCTTCTTCTATATCTATCGGCAACTCTGACATCACACTCTCTTCCTCTGCCAGAAACCTTGGAGTCACGCTTACAGACACCCTATCCATGGACAAACATGTCACGAATATATGCAGATCGGTTACCGGAAATTTGATAGAAAGAAATTTCGTCGACGGTAAATTGATCGACGGTAATTTGATCGAACGGAAATTTGGTCGAATCTTTTTTTCCGTTCGCACGTTGAAATTTTCGTCAAATTTCTTTTTGAACGCACTATACTATTTAGTAAAACAAAACAATTCGTTCAAAAAGAAATTTGATGCAAAATTGTTACGTAAAAATTGAAAAGAAGATTCGACCAAATTTCCGTTCGATCATATTACCGTCGACCAATTTACCGTCGACAAAATTTCTTTCGATCAAATTTCCGGATACGATGCAGATCAGCATATAACGAAATTAGAAAAATCAGCACCATTAGACACCTCCTCTCCTTTGATGCCACAAAAACTCTCGTCTCTTCACTCATTCTTTAAAAATTTGACTACTGTAACACTCTTCTCGCAGGCATTCCTCAACACCACATAGACAAACTTCAGAAGGCACAGAACTCAGCATGCAGACTCATTTTTAAATCAAAGAAACATGATCACATTCAACCACACATGCGGCAACTCCACTGGCTTCCAATATCCTCTCGCATCAAGTACAAGTCTGCCAATCTATGCTTCAACTCGTTCACTGACCCTCACTTTCCTGTCTATCTCTCTGAACTGTTGCTTCCTTACATCCCAACAAGATAACTACGCTCTTCCATTGACAATAGAACCCTCTCAATCCCAAGAACCAAAACTAAGACCATCGGTGAACGGTCCTTCTACTTCCATGGACCCACGTTCTGTAACCAGCTCCCCTTCCATATCCGTCATTGTGAAACCTCGTCCACTTTCAAAAAGTCCCTTAAAACCCTTCTGTTTAGGTCCGTCTATGACCTGTGATGCACCCTCCTTGCCCTGTCTCATTTTCTGTCTCGGGTTGATCCTGTAGTATAGGCCAAAACGTGCCAAAGTGTCCTCGTTTTATAGCCACTTTAATTGTTTCTATAGTATAGTAGTTACTATCCTTGTGTCTCATTTTTATTTTACTTAGTCTACATGTTTTTAATAATTATAATTGTAAAGCGCTTAGAGCTTTATGGTAAGCGCTATATAAAAATGCCTAAATAAATAAATATCGTTTGTCAGTGTTGGTCTGGCCCACCGAGATATCACTTGACAGTGTTGGACTGGCCCACCGGGATATCGTTTTTGTCAGTGTTGGACTGGCCCACAGACATATAACTTGTCAGTGTTGGACTGGCCCACCGGGATATCACTTGTCAGTGTTGGACTGACCCATAGACATATCGCTTGACAGTGTTGGACTGGCCCACAGCCATAAAACTTGTCAGTTTTGGAGTGGCCCACCTGCATATCACTAACCAGTGATGTTTGGTCGGTCGGGGCCGATTCTGTCAGTAAAATTTGTGCAGTCGGTGTCACCTCTTAATTTTGATATTACATGCTTAGCAAATTTCTACCTCCAAGTATGCTCATTAATATAAATATAATAAGATATGCCACCGATAAAGTTAATGAACAACTAATATGCAGTAGAAACCGATGTTTTAGGTCAGGGGTCAGCAACTTTATCAAAGATAACCGCTATTGTATAAGGCAGGCCTGCACAACTCAAAATATAAGGCAGGCCGTAATCAATTATGAAAAACTTGTGCGGGCTAAACGAAAATAGGAGGGGACCTGTGCGGGCCAAAAGAAGATAGGTCTGAGGGAAAGCTATTAAGAAAATAATAAGAATAAAGAATATTTCGTTACTTCGTGGGCCACAAAGTGGGAGCTGGTGGGCCACATGCGCTGTACGGTAAATACAGTGCCGAACATAGCAGGTTTTGTGCTATATATAAAGTATATCTGCTGATAAAGAGCCACGTAAAGGGTTTTTGGTTTGAACTCCGGCATGTCATGTAAAGGCAATGGTTAACACATGTCATTTATTCTCGACAAGAATGGATTTCAAAGTATTACACAACAGTGAATGGGTATATTTTCTGTTTGATAAGGAATGAAACATATAGATAACATTAACCATAACCCTCATGCCAGCAGACAATATACTGCAACAGTTTATAAAAAAAAACAAAAACAAAAAAAAAAAACAGTAAGAATGATTCTCGGTGATCCCATACAGTGATGCAGCTAGGGGGGTGCGGACCACACCGGGTGACACCATCTCAGGGGTGACACACAAATAAAAAAAAAATGCATATTTACGCACTGCGCTAAAACGGAATTTCCTAAAAGTAAAAGGATAAACCAATCACAAGTAAATGTTCCGTATTTGTAACAAATCCAAGTGATACGAAGAAGAATATTGATTTTGATCAAATGATCGACAGGTCTGCAGCTTTGAAGACCAGGATTGGACAATTTTAAATGAAGTAATTATGTAGAAATAACTAGGACTTAACGCTGGTACTGTTCTTAAACACCTTGACCTCCTGACCTTCAACTCATTTTTATTCTTGTCGTCGTTATTCTGTGGACTTATTTTAAGAAGAAGAAATATGTCGTGGAAGTTGGGGGGGAGGGGGGTGACACCATGAGTTGACCGCACCGGGTGACACCAACTACGCCACTGATCCCGTATTTGTTGCAGCGAGTTGCACTTAGTCAAAGAGAAGCACTCAGTCAAAGAGAAGCACGTAGTCAAAGAGAAGCACTTAGTCAAAGAGAAGCACGTAGTCAAAGAGAAGCACTTAGTCAAAGAGAAGCACTTAGTCAAAGAGAAGCACTCAGTCAAAGAGAAGCACTTAGTCAAAGAGAAGCACTTAGTCAAAGAGAAGCACTTAGTCAAAGAGAAGCACTTAGTCAAAGAGAAGCACTTAGTCAAAGAGAAGCACTTAGTCAAAGAGAAGCACTTAGTCAAAGAGAAGCACTTAGTCAAAGAGAAGCACTTAGTCAAAGAGAAGCAC